AAGGTCTTGCGTAAGATCTTGGGTACAAAAATGTCCTGAGATCTTGTACCCATTTTTTCAAGATCTAGTGCCAAATCTTAACGTAAGATCTTGGGTAAGATCTTCGTTTCAAGATGTTGGACTAGGGAATGCATTGATTTCCCGATAGGAACCTGATCGAAAACTTTTGGAGCTTTCAAAACAGAAGGATAAAGTAAATAATCTAAACAAGAATCCTTCGTTGTAATAACGATCGTATGAGTGCAAGCTAACGAAAAAACCGCTCCAGGTAGCTCTCAGATTCTACTCTCTAAAACTGAAAACCGCAGCTCTCTAGCTATTTTCCGTCAAAAGTTATTGAGAAGACAATGGAGTGCATTATATTTTGAAATGGATAGTTGTTTAGTCTTAAAATTCTTAACAACAAACTCTTTCTCTTCTTCAAAACGGATTACACATGAAAATAACATTAAAGTTGAGTGCATGATTGCATTAATTAAAACATATTTATCAATAATCAGTTCGATTCCTACCTGGTGGTCCATGTAATATATGCATACGTTCTTGTATATCCTCGAACATATTGTTTGCTATTCTTATTGTTTGAGATTGATTAATATTAAAACCATCGATAATTTGATTATTTGGTCCACTATCATTTGCGATTTCTGCTTTACAAAAATATTCATCATTTAACATTGGTGCAAGTAAACTTTTATATTGTGGAAATGATGTTAAATTATATATAGCACTAATCATTCTTCTACTTGAGGTTATATTACTTAATTTAAACATTTTCATTTCTTTATCTTTTGAATGATATTTGTTTAATTCATCAGAACATTTTTTTGATACATAAATGACAAGACGAGTATGTAAATCAACACGTAAACGATTTCTGTCTTTTATTATATTTTGTGCTACATTGTTATCATTAATATTATTTGTTGTTAATCCATATTTCATTTTTTTATCTTTATTATCATCACGTTTAACTTTAGTCTGTTTTACATGAACAATTATTCCAAAATAATTGATTTTATTAATTGTTATTAAAACAATATCAAATAGAGATAGTTTTGAATTCAAATGTTTAAACGTATCTGTGAATAATGTTTGATGATCACCAACAATAAGTGTTGTAGGTATACTATTTTCTTCATCTTCATCTTCACTTGTTGATTGACGTATAAAACGATGAACATTTACTTTAGTTTGTCGTTCTGTTGAATCAGTCTCAACATCTTTAGAATCATGCATTATTTCAAACCATAATTCATGATAATGAAGTGGCACAAAACAATTTACATATTTTGTTAATGCAGACACAACATTAATATTTTCAACATTATCCGCATTGTCTAAATAACAAATAAACCAAATTATTGCCTTAAGGGTATCCTACTTCATCTCATTCTTCGAAAATAAACGATTTTCTGTTCTTACGGTTAATCAATACTATAATGGCGTTCTTTAGTGCTTAGTCAATTTTAGTCAAATATTAATGCTCACCCGTTTATAGTTGCTTATTATTTTATTCTACTATCTCGCTCTCAGATACTCTCGAAAGATATGATTAAAATGTCTATCGTTCATAAAATACAAAAGAACAACTCTAAAAGCGTGCATAAATTTCAATTTGCTATTAGCAAAAACAATATTCATTCCAATACTGAGATATATTGTAGCATCGATAAATTAGATTGAAAAACATCTTCCTCAGAAAGAGATGTCAGTTATTATCCATTAAACATATAATACATGCGATCCCGACGCAAATAACACGAGAACACAACCAGCTATGGAGGTGGCGCATCCACCATTCGAAAGAGGAGATCGGAGCACATCGATCTGTCTAAGACTCAAAGTTTCCGAAAGGATCTTTACCCGTATCTGAAGATATTTTTGAGTACAAGAGCCTTTCTATTCATTACAGTCTAATATTCTCAAACCGGAGGGAATGAAAATGCCCTATAGAGTGTCTCTCTTTTTTCTTGTCTTGTTCCAGAATCGTAGCAACTGACCACAGAGAGCTACACTTATTACCAGAGCATCTTCTCAAAAATAAAGTGGGCATATTGTTTCATCATGTACCATAGAGCTCACTCTTAGGTGTGGTTTTCAAGTTTTTACATTGCATGCCGTACGGACCTCATCTCTTCAATTTATTCGTTCGAGCTCAAATTTCTGTTACACACACTACGTTCCAGTACACTCAGATGTTTTTTTGAGTTGAGGCTCGAGGTTGTAACATTGAGTAACCTAAGGCGCTATTTCCAATGAACGCATGCGTGACTATATGCAGCATATGCAGATACTTGTGTGAAGATTAGATATTCATTTTCTTAGGTTAGAGAAAGACTTTTTTATAGGAAATCTGCTAATCAGAGTTCATCGAGCATGTGCAGCGTCAAGCGTCCGTAAGTGCTGATTGACACCTTTAATATCTAGTCTAGAAGTAAATGATTAATGGCTAAAAGCTACAGTCTACTTCAGTGTATAATACGAGTGACTCCGACGCGAATAACTCTAGAATACAAGCAGCTATCGATGTGATGCTTTCGCAATTAGAAGAGGAGATCTGAACACATCGATCAGTCCAAGACTCAAAGTTTTCGATAAGTCCTTCAAGAGTTTTTTAGAAGAATCTTCGAAAGACCTTCTCAGTCGAAACCGTAGGCTCGATCGAATTTCGATTTCCAGGTGTTCATTCGACAGCCCAAACATTTCTCTACAGGTCTACGTTACTTTCATCCTTTTCTGATGTCCCTGTCAGACTCCAGATTCAAAAAACACATGCTTCCATCAATTAAGATCTGTTTTCTCTTCTGGAAAACGGATAATTTGCATGAATATATAGACTTCCAAATATAGCAGTCGTCGTGAAAATGCTGGCTGAAGTTGAGAATGGTAGTAGGACGTCCAGAATCTGTCTTCTTCTTCAGCGGTGACCATGAAGCATGGCAAGGACATAAGAAAAGGATGAAAGTAACGTAGACCTGTACAGAAATATTTGGGCTGTCGAATATTT